CCACCAGTGTAGCGTCCCGAGGCTTCCCATAAGATGGAAGAAGGCATAAATGAGGTTGCATACATATATTCCGAAGACAACAGGGCTAACGGGGCCTGAGGGTGGCCCGAAGGCCAGCCCCTGTGTACAGGGGCCAGACAAACAAACAAAGTATTAAATCGCTTAAGTGCGAATTTGGCACAGTAGGGCTCCCATGGAGGCAGAAGGTGCATTACTTAGGTAGACGCGTGCTTTACGCTACTGCATTGGAGCAGAGGCCAGCCTATCAGCCAAAAATACAACGGTCACCTACTGTAACGCGTTGTTTATGTGACCACCTGGCGTTTGATGGTCAATTTAAGACTCGTCTGGCTCTTATACGTGCGGTCTAATCGCCGGGCCATGCTCAGGCTTACTTACTTTGTTCTCCTTGGAATACATGTATCCAGCCCCATTTAGTGCTTCTTCCACCCACCGGGAAGCATCGGGACGCTACGCCTACGACGCCAAAAAGCAGTAATTTTCTGCGGAAAACATAACAAGTATCTGTAGCGTCTCAAGACCTCTCAATAAGTTAAAGAAGGCGTCAAGTAGATTAGAACACATGTAATTAAGGAAAACAGTTAGAGAAAGGGCTTTGAATGGGCCCCAGAGGTTATTTCATGAACACAACAGCAAGATCAATACCGCAGTAACCACCAGACCTAAAGGTGATCAAATAAATAAGTGATTTTAGCATCAATCTTTGATTACGGTAGAGGATATTACACTTTAAGCACCCATTACACATTCAAGGATCGACATGCATGTGTCAGGTAGAATTCCCTTAAGAAGGAATAAAGTGATCAGTTATTGATATCAGGAAATGAATTAGACGAGACCAACCCACCCCGTAAAAGCGCAACTGTTATTCGAACAAGCGGTCAAACAAACACAAAATCAAATAGCCTCTCCTTACGTTTGAACTGTAGCGTCCCGAGGCTTACCATAGGGTAGTAGAAGGCATAAGTGAGGTTGAATACATGTATTCCGAGGACAACAGGAGAAATGGGACTTGAGCGTGGCCCGAAGACCAGCTCTAGTGTACAGAGGTCAGACAAATTCTAAAGTGACCGCCAAACGTCATGTGGTCACATCAACAAAGCATTTACATGAACGTCGCTCTACAACCCTTCCATAGAAAAGCAATCAGATGTTTCCTACTTTGTGGCAGCAAAATCGCTCTTTTTGCAATTATGCCAAAGTTGCTAAGAGCGGAGAAAAATGATCCGATACAGAATTTGTCTTTCAATCTCACGAATATAGCTTCCTCAGGCCTCTCCCAGGAAACATAAGGGGGCGCGCTCAGAGTATGTGCAAACGTTCGAACGATTTTGACCAAGTGCCAGTCACCAACGCAAGCGTTAGCAAAATAACTTTTAAATTCACTTTGTTAATCCCTTCTACTTCACTTACAACGCGCGTATTTAGCCCAACTTAGTGCTTTCTTCTACCTAATGAGAAGAATAGGATTCCGTTCCTGCAAAACGCTCCGACTTCCCTTAATTTCGTTGATAATATGTATTCCACTCCAATATGATACCTACTTTTATCTACACAAAAGACTCAGTAATCTGCGATAAGTTAACGATTTATGGTGTTCCTTGTAGTCGACACATGTCACAAATCAGGAAGTACACTAGGATCTAGGCAGAATATAGGTGCTTAAATCTGGTCCCTTATGACGACTATATTTTCCGTCGTCCCACTGATAAAATAGGTAAAACAAAGTACTTTTAACGTATATGGGCGAAATGGGAGGAAGTTGGGCTGCGGAGATGGCCTGAATGCTAAGTGACAATCAAGTGACCGTCAACGACAGTAACCGCAATACTTTGGTTATATGATCGCCTGATGTCCAGTAATTACTTTGATATTCGTCATGCTCTTGCGCTCGTGGGCTGGCTTTCGGGCCACGCCATAACCAAATACTTCCTTATTCTCATTCAGTACATGCAATCAGCCTAACCTAATGCCTTCCACATAGTGGAAAGTCTTACGTTCTCACAGAGGCAGTCACGCAAGTACAGAATCGCAGAGTTTTTAGTTCTGAAGAATAAAGGCTCGTAATTCTAAACGTTATCGCAAACTTTTTTCTTGTAGTTACTGCCTGTCTACCCTCTGGTCTCTAGTTCTCAGACTTTAAGAGGAAATTGGTTGTGGACGGTTTATAAGGCATCTCTGTAAGAAGGATAGGGGAATGAAATGCAGATGTGATGAGCAGGAGATGTCAATCGCAGGGAGGCTCCTCGTCGACCTCGCGCACGTGATCCACGTTTCCATTGCTTTCCGCCTCTCGCCTATAAAAGTCCACTTTAAAAAAACTAGAATATATTACATTTCTCTTTATATAATTTACCCTTCATAAGCAAATAATTAGGGCAGTGTGACTTAGGAAGATTTCAATCTCAGGCATAAATGTAGGTGAATGGATAGAGAACGAGTCTGGTGTGGCATCTCAGTATAACGTCTCAAGACTTCTCACCTGGTGGCAAAGAGAAGGATGAAATGTGAATCGCTGACTTAGTCCGACGACTAGCAATCCCGGAAAAAGCGAACAGAGCAATAAAGCGACAGGCAGCCACAGAAACGGCCAAACGGATGAACACATATAAAATATCCTGCTGTGGTAAAAATGTAACCAAAGCAACTCACAAAATTTATATTTTCACAGGAGCGAAAGTTAAATGCAGACAGGTTTGAACAAGCTGAACCGTTGAAAATTTAGTGACTGTGGAGTTTGTAAAGTTTAATTAAACAAAGCATTTATGCAAAAACTTTTGTTAGAATAAATTTAACTAACTCAGCTAAAATAATAATTATTGTCAATTCATCATTTTAAATTCAGTTTCACTTTGCGATTACTTTAAATGTGTTGCACACTTTGGTAGCGCGTCCATTGGTTTTGTTCGTGATTTCTTGTGTTGTGAGTTTTTCTGTCGATTCTTGACGTTGTTCTTACGCGATAGCAGTTTTAAACGTAAAGCGTTCCTTTCTCTTCTGCATATTGGATCCTTTGTGAAATGATGCAGTCATTAAAGGGGTGGGGTAACCGACAACTCATGCTTTCGGTTTCTTCGTAGATGAGTTCCCTGTAAACTTGTCCTATACGGTGCCTGAGTTTCGACGGTTAATTGTTGGGAATGTTTTAGTATTCTAACCTTAAGATTGCTTCCTAGTGCCAATGTGGTTAGCGTTAACTCAAGTTTTTTATATCCCGCGCCTGGCTTGCGACTGATATTTGTTGATGCGAATGCCGGTACGTTTATCTTGGGATTCAAATTCGATCACTCATCGTTTTATTTCTACTGAAGGTGTCATGGGAGAGGAACAAGAAGTAGTGGAAGTTAATTATGAGGAACAGTATAGGTATGCCCTCAGATAAGTGAATGTTAGTTTCATCAATTTTTCACCTTCATAACCAAGTATTTTTCTTTCAGGATACTGTCAGAAGAAAATAAAAAACTCTCCATAGACATCGCCAGTTTACAGCTCAGCAATAGAAGCCTTGTTAATCAAAATCGGGATGAAAAGAAAAAAGTTATGGATTGTCGCCTTCAAATTAGCGATTTAGAGAGTCGTTTGAGAACGCTAGACAGCATCAAGACTGAGCTAGCTGAAAGCCAAACTCAAGCTGAGCGTTTACGACAGAGTCTGGATGCGAACGAAACGAAACTTGCTGCTACGGAGCGTCGAGCCACGGAGGCAGAAAGTCTTGTTAAGGTGAGCTCTCTCTCTGTCCCCTTTCGAAGTGATTTCTTACAGGTAAAGGATAGCATTATTGAAAAGCAACGGAAATTTTCTAAAGAGCTGGAAGGAAAGGTTCAAAATCTCTCTGAGGAGGTGGAAGGTTTAAAATCGAAATGTGGTAAATTAGAGGTGAATTTAAGCGAGGCCTTGGATAGGGCGGATGAGTGTGACCGTTTGCGCGAAAATGTGGCCGCGAAAACTGCCCTTCTGGACAAAATTGCCGAGTCGTAAGCTGTTCTCCCTTTCTCTCCTGACGTATTATTTAGATCTGGGGCTGTGAGTGAAAGTGGTTTGGCTGCTGCCAATCAGTACTTTAAAGAACAGGAGGCCAAACTTGGCGAGCAGCTGGCTGAAATGAAACAGACTAAAAGTGAGCTAGAAAAACGCATTAAGGAACTGACTGATGAACGCGATTCTCTGCAAGAGAAGGTGGGTAGTGTTTACTCCTTTCATGTGGACCTTGTGGACTTTTTAATTACCCCTTTCGCTTCAGGTTGAGAAGCAGGATGAAGACATTGAAAGCCTAAAGGGAAGGTGTGCTAACTTGGAAGCTTCGGTAAAAGAATCGAAGCACTCGGACAAGCGCACGAAGGGCGATATGGTAAGACATTTATGGGTTTGCTCGAGCTGGCCTTAGGCAAATAATCGACTGATCGGACCGTCGCTTCCCCCGTGGATCCTGGAGGAGAAGAAGCCCGATCCGAGTGAAATAGAGAAGCTCAACAATGCAGATCCGGCCACCCTTCGGGCTCGTGTACTTGATTTGGAAGGCAAAGTACACGAGCTCAACCAGCTTTTGACCTACCGAGAGGATGTCATTCTCCGCATTTATCAGGTAACGCTGGCCATTCGTGTTTCGAGGTGCTTGCACGTTCTTCCTTTGTCAATCGGCTTGAAACGCGAGTTTCGGCTTTTGCAGCAAAGGCAAACCAATCGATTACTTTGTGATGATCCTTCGACCAACACGTTCCTATAAGTTGGTGTTAGTGGTTTCAGATTCGTGTTTAGGTCATTTATTATAATCACCCAATTGTTACTCAAATAGGAGATACAAAAGAAGGCTTCTCGGCTAGAGGCGGCAGAAGTGGAGCGATCTAGTCTCTCAGCTCAGGTCAGCATTCTTAAGCGGGAACTTGCGACACTGCGTGAGGATGGAGGACCACGCGGTGGTGGTCGGCGTTATGACGGTTATCCACCAGAAATTGAGATTGAAATTGAGCGTCTTCGGGGTAAGCGGGATCGCGAGTATCAGCGGAGAAAGCGAGCTGAGGCAGAAATGGATGAGATGGAGGTGGAGTTGAACGAGGTGAAGGAGAAGATGAAAAAAGTAGAGGAGGAGTTGGCTGAGATAGCTAATGCTCCAAAACCGGTAAATTGTCACTCGTCGAGTCATTTTGCTGCTAATAGGACCGAATTGGAAGTGATAGACTTGTAAGGTAGCATATTTGCACCTAAATTTGGTCCATGGATAAGGTGTATTATTTGATCTGTTGCTATTTTTTGGCCATTATCTTAGAATTTTTTTAAATTGCTGCTGGACTTTGATCTACGGTGTCAGCCCCACTTGTCTTTGCTATCAGGTTATCCACTCTGGTGACCCGGCGGATAAGGCTCGCATAACTGAGCTGCAGACGGCGGTAAACCAGTTGCGCTTGGACAATGAGGCTAAGCGCTCCGAACTGTTTGATCTTAGGTCTCGTTTTGATGAAAAATCTGCTCAATTGGAGTCATTCTCTTCAGAGGTATGCTCTACTCCATTTCCCTGCTCTATACTTCCGCAATTATTAACATTTATTGAATATTGGGCGATTGGCCTTGCGTCCTTTTTTAGATAAAGACGAAGGAACGTCAAGTGAGTGATTTAACGGCTGAGTTAACTACCAAGACGACTCAGTTGGAGCAGGCGAACAAGGAGTTGGAGGCAGTGCGTCTTCGCGTGGTTCGCGGAGGTGTTGAGACTGAGCGCTGGCAGACAGACTTGAACAGTGTGCGGACTACCAATCGTTTCCTCGCTCAACAGACCAACGAATTGCGTCTCCGTCTCACCACTACCGAAGCTCAGTTATCTGACGCCCAGAAGCGCATTGTCTCTCTTTTAAAATCCGGTGGTACATTCCAGTGTTCAGCATAAATGCACTCATTGGATTTACTGGACTGTCGTTACTTTTCGTGCCTACTTTAGGTGACGCGCCACTCTGCAATGGAGTTGCTGAGGATGACAAGGTATTGGCCAAAGACAAGGAGATTGCAGAACTGAGGTCTAAGGTCGCTGACATCGAATCACAGCTTGCCGAAGCAAAGGATAGTGTTGCTGATTTGGATGCTGCCAAGTCCGAGATTAACGAGTTGAGGGCCAAGTGCGCCACTCTTGCAAATGAGCTTGAGTCCGAAAAGCACCGTGTTAACGCCGAGGCAGTAAGCCTTTCATTACGTAATGCACTCATTGTTGTTTTTAGAGGTCTTGAGTGGTTCACTCGTTTTTTACCTCAGATCCAAAATTCGGATGACACGCTTCGGATTACTCAACTGCTGTCGGACTTAAAGAAGGAACACCAGTCATCTACCGCCTGTGCTGAACGTTGCACGGAACTTACGAAGCAACTGACCGAGCTGGAGTCGACTCTCGTCGAGACTCGTGAACGGTTGAACGAGGCAACGAGTGAAAATCGACGTGCTGATTTAGAGCAGGCTGCTGCTCAAGCAGCTGGCGCACCCACATCTCCTCCGGCGAAACGAGTTAGGCGGACTCGTTCCAGCAATGCAAACGCCTCTGCCGCAACTCCCCAGGTAATTATTCCACTGTAGTCCCTTGATAGATTGTCTTACTGTCTGTTTGTGAGGGGAGGTCTGCGACGCCGCACAGTGCACCTCAGAAGTCTGTCGGTAAGCCAAAATTTTATTATAATTACACCTAATAACCTCCTTTGGCTATACGAAGCGCTCTTTGTTTCACCGATCTGAGGTATGTAAGCGCGTTCCTCTTTTTCACCTTTAGGAATGCCTTGCCTGTACGGAGCTTAAGCGTCAGGTTCAGGCCCTCGAGACAGATCTTGCTGATGCCAATGCAAAGATTAGCAGTTCCGTCGCAGAGGTAGGCCTCACTTACCCATTTAAATTTCTCTATGAAACGATTCTGTTACTAATCTTGCTTCTTTGCAGTTAAATGATTTGCGAGCGCGGCTGAGTGAAGTGGGTGAGGAATCATGCAGACTGCGTCAGGAGATCTCGAGTCTTCATGGGGATTTGGCTGCCAGTGCCAGTGGCCTTAAGAAGCTTCGTCACGCGGCTCGAGCCTACCTTACCGACAACTCATCATCAGCCGTAGCCGAGCAGCTACGCCAACTCCTGGCGGTGGAGTAGTGTCGGGTTTTGCGCACGCTCCTGCCCTGCCTGTCACTGCTTTATGTACATTCTCTCCACGCCACTCAGCAGCTAGGAGAACTGCGTCGGGATAGCGCGTAGCATTTGCGTTTTTGACAGTTTATACCTGTTTTCAAGGTCTACATTTATGTAACATATTTTTTTGATGATAAAGATGAATGTTTGAGTGACTTCTGGTTCCTTTTCTGTGGTGGTGCTGTTGCACTTCATCGCTATTTAAACGATTTTTGGTCTTGGTATTATTCGGCTCTTGCCTTTTAATGCGAACGTTCATGGTCTATGAATACTGTCAGTTTGTGTTTCTAAATCAGTTACCGCTTAGAACTTGCTTAATTTGAAGGTAGGAGCAGTTCAGTAACATCAACGTTGGTAATCACATTGCTAAATCGGGTGAACTGGTTACTTGTCAGTTACCAAGCGCTATGTTTGGTCATTGCTGATGTTGTATCGTGGATTACGCTCGAGAGGACGTGCAGGGCTTGGAGCACTGCTTCGGGAGCTACATCGACGAGTGTTTTTTAGGCATCACGGTGTCTATCCTGTTGTCTGACTGCGTATTCTCACCCAATACGGCCGATCTCCTTTGCTCTGACTGGTGCGCAACGATTTGTCCACGTATCAAGTATGCGGCTTGGCTTCTGGTCCGCATTGAGATCTTCCTTCAGTTCGCTGATTAGATTGATTGCGGCTGAGGAGGGTCGGTTGGTAGGCACTGATGCAGCGGGAAATCGGTACTTTGAAGCAGAGCCAGACAGGGATAGTGAGGTTCCACATCGCGCGTCTAGACCAAAGCGCTTTTTCCTTGCTCCTGGCCAGAAGTCTGTTGAGGATCCATGGATACAATCGAATACCGGTTGGTTTTGAGTACTGTAACTGCTCATATATTTAATAGAATTCCGCGCTTCGACATTTTTTGAAGTTAAGGCAGGAATTAAATCATTTTAGAGGTCTCGTTTGATTGACGAAGTATGTGGGCCGGTTAAATGATTATCATTATTGTTTTTATGAAAAGCACGCAGAATTTATTTCTTAATCCCTCTGATATGCCTAGTAATTGAGATTTCTTAGGAGCATTGGTTCCACGGCTATAAAACATGCAAATTGTCATGTTATGAATTTGGAAACGGGCTTACTTCTATGCCATCTGCTTGAATATCGAGTTATGGGAAGTTGAAGGGGTCTGCGTCGTCTAAGCACGGGTAGACCGAATTACGGTGGCAACTATTTTGGGTCGATTTGCGTGTTCAAAAGCTTTTTGCCTTTCATCGGATTTCCTGCTAAAACATCTCACGAAGTTTCAAGGCGGTTGAATTTGACCTAAGAACAGTGTAACAGTTGTCTCCATATGACTCCTCCATTTTAAGTGGAAAGAAGGATTGGAATATCATGGCGACAGGTGTTGATTTGGAGGTTATTGTGTTGAAACCTGGATATAGTTATCATTGCACCTTTTCTTTTCGAATTAATTAGAACTTTTTAGTCTTCCAAGTGAGTGGGATGCGTGGTTACGCCATCGACGTGCAGATCCACCTACACAGGAGGAGATTGAGAGAAACGCAAAGGCCGCCCAAATGCGCGCGATTAAGGGTCGCGAATTCGAGGCATGTCTCTCTATTTCTATCTTGAACTTTCTTCTGCATTTAACTCAATACTGTTGGAGCACAGATTCGCAATTCCCCCACTACTAATTCACGCCTAAAGTTGGTTAACACACCTTTTTAGTAGCACTTTTGTCAGGTTGTCATTGTTTGTAATTCTAATTCCATCAAAGAGGTAGGCATGGGTTGACAGCGGGCCGAACAGTTGTGTTTGCCGTACTTGATTTTCGCTAGGGTACAATCACTTGTGATACTACTTTGTCATCTCAATGATGAGGTAATGAAATCACAAGTAAGAGTGTTTCTCACACCAATGGACAAGCGGTGACTGAAGACGTGATTACCTTCCAACTTCTCTAATAAGCTCAGCATTTTTATTAGATGAAAGACTTCTCGAAATAGGCATTCCTATCTGGTTTTGGCTACTCTTCCATTCATCACGACTTCACTTGCACTTATTTGCTTTTGCTTTGCCCGTAATCTCTTACCAACCAAAAACCGCATTGGTTTGGACTTATCTGTGAAGCCACATATTCGAAAGGAGTTCAAATCCCCTGCGAATATTCACTGAATGACAGCGCCGAAAGTAAGATGGCTCGGAGGGTTAATTGTGGATCGACACTTGAAGACATACGTATTGGAACTGAAGGGAAAAATGCGAAGATTCAGTTTGAACCGTCTGATATCGTGCCTTTTTGAAGTTAGTGTGTAAGGAGGCGAAATATTTGTCTCCAAAAGCAAGTGCTAACTCTTTTTATCAACGAAAACACTGGAGTAGCCCTTATTGGTTTGCTTTTCTTATTGTGCATTTTTTGCCATGCTTTCTCTTCGTAACATCCTTTTCTGCGTCATTTAAACACAGGAGCAGTTCAGAGAGGAATTGAGACGGAGAGCCATCGAAAGAGGCGAAAAAACACCGACACCAACCTCCTCATCCAAAGTCCAGGAGGACACCGTGCCCTTCCCACGGCACCCTGGTTTGGAAGTGATTCCTGGAGAACGGAGTTGAAATGTGACCTCTCCCTGAGAGTACAGCCTTTCTCCTCCTCATCTTTAGCTCCCCAACTAATGGCATTCATACCTGTCTTTACAATGTTTTGTCCTCTGTGGTTGGATCATACTGGTTAGTCCTTACTTTTGTTTTGGATCCCATTCAGGTTTTAGAGCCATTCTTCATGGCACTAACCGTAGTCGAGGTTAGTTCTGGGGCTTACTTACATCTTCATGTTCACCACTTTGATGAGTTTTTTTTTACAAATGGGCATCAAATTAACTTGATAAACAAAAGATTACGGACCTATTGGTGGACTGATTATTTTTTCTCTTGGATTTCTACTCGTTTCCAAGATCTCTCCGAGTGGGGATTAGACCAATGTTATTCCATCGGACCCCGTTGTGCCGTTGTGTTCTCAATACGAATCGCTGTAATGACTATCGTAAAATGTGGTGTTGCGAAATTAGCCATTTTTTTACTACTTACAGATCACTAGCTCAGCGGTGCCGCTTCCTGTATCGCTTTCCTACTTCGAGGAAGTTTATCATCAGCCTCTATAGTCCCCCCTCCTCCCCCAATGACTGCCCTAGTGTTGGCCATTGACATGGCTTGACATTGGCTGTAATTGAGCAATTGAAATTGCAATTGGATGGGATGCACAAGTGAGACACTGCCTTCCAGAAACTGAGTGAAGATGGTAACCTTGTATTTCTTCGCCAAAGGGCTACCCGTACTGTTGTTATCACTATCACAGAAGACCATGTGGTACCATTCTGGTGTAGCCTTACGTACAGGTCAAAGGAAGTGAACGACCATATTCGTGGTTAGGTTACCGTCAATGTTGAGGTAATAACAATAGGCATTTACTTGCTGGTTTCTTCCCGCGACTAGATGTTTGCTTATTGCTATAAGTCTTAGCGAGCAGCGTAGTTTCGTCTTGCATACTGTGCAGCTTTTAGATCCTCGATGGTGGGCTTCTCTCGGGCAGCCTTGCTTTGATGCTTGAGCATCCACCATCAGGAAGAAACTGCTCTGTGTCCACTTTTTAGCAGTCAAAGTGCACGCTGTTGGCATTTATTCGCTTACAATTTAGGCGCATCAAATACATCTCAGTTGGATCTGTTTAAAGTGGATTGTTGTGGAAAACTTCTTAAGGGACCTAACTGATAGCTATCCCTTTTGGAAGGAAAACAGAGTTGAATTATGGTCGCTAATACAATTTCTAACTTTGCTTTTGGCTGTCCTGGATTCTCATGGATGGAGTGTTCTGCTCTACCTCCCATTAGATTCAGGAATATCAGTATCGTTGCTATAGCTACGGTACTTACATGGGCTTTATGCAAACGTGGAAGGCATAGCAACGTTGTGCATTAATTGCGACTCGTCATGCAGTCAATCAACCTGTCGCATTTAGACCGCCTTAGTGGTCAGTTGTGGTTGTTGCGTTTTAAAGGTGTGCCGAAAACAAATATTCATATCAAAGGTGTAGTCCATTTCACTTGATGGCCAACGGGGTCTCCAAAAGGCACCATCGACTTTCAATAAGACCCATTTGTAACACTCGGGGTTTAGCAAAATCACTTGCTAACGTAAAATTATTAACCAGAAAAAGCATTTGATGCAAAAGAATAATGGGTGAGACAGAGAAAGCTCATGATTAGGAGTGTAATAAATGAACACAAAAGATAGTGAAATCTGTCGCGGGAACATTTCCTTACATTTTATTCACCAATAACGCAAAATGATGATGCGAGTCGCCTTTTGCCCGTGGGTTAATTGACAAGCGTACTCTCGATGCAAGAACTACGCACCATCTTCCAACAAACGTGGTCGGCTTAAAGACGGCCACAAAATAGCAACAGTTAAGGAACCCAAGTCAAAGCTCACCTTCCGGCTACGGGTGAACAAATGCGACCATATTGATGCCACCCCTTAAGTACTTCCGACTTTTCATTTGAAGAGAAGTGATATTGGAGTGAGCACACCAATGTATTAACGATAAACATCGGAAAATACATCAAACTGCATTGGAAATCTTTGATTCTGTAATTAGCGGTTTTTTCCCCTCCTAAAAAGAAACGAAGACTATTCATTTGAAGGTGAAATGGCAAAATAATGTGCAATCTGCAATCTCATTGGTGAACGTTTATCCCATAAGGTGGAGGGAATGGCTTTTTTGCCGCCAAGGTTTTGATGGATACAAGGTATTTTGAGCCTAAGTTTTCCTAATTATGGGCGGACAGCAGTACCAAATGTAGCACGTGATTAGAGCCACTTGGATGAAGTGCGCCCGCATCTATTTTCCTCAAGCTGCATAACTCATCGACTGTACACCTAAATCATGTGTGTTTAAACCGGAGTCGTATGCCTCAGGATCAAGTAAATGGATTTAACTGTCTCTGCCCGTGGTGAAGAGTTACAGTTACCCTGTTTGAGACACTCACCCTCTTCTCTTTTTATTCACGTTGGCGGCAATGTCGTCAGGATTCTCTTCGTCGTCCTCCGCCGGAGCCTCTGGTTGGGTAACTAGCAGCAACTAAATAAGCAGAAATGAATTGGTAGTGATAGTTGAGTCCTTATCGTCTTTAAATCAAGTAAAAAAGTTTATAGGTTTCCCTGTTGGTGCTGGTCTGAAGCTGATAAAGTGAGAAATTTTTTGCAGTTGAAAAGACCTCAATAACGCCTGGGTTTATTTTGACTGTTGAATGAGTAGAACCCCGAAACAAATGGCAGCGGCAATAAATATGACAACTTGGAAGAAGATTAAAAAGGACGGCGAATAGGCAGACGGAAATGCCTGAAAAAATAGGGACTTACAAGGAGACGAATACTGCGACGGGTAAATATTTAAAAAGGATGTAAAATTTTGAAATGCAAATAGTCGATTCGGCAAAACCGATAGTGTAAGATACGAAGGTAAACGGACAAAGTGATGAGATGATTACAGGCTGAGAGTAAGTGATTGGAGAAGGACGAAAAGCACGAATTGATAGCGTAATTCGGAGTTAATTTCGGTTAAATAAATTTGAACTGGGTTAACAGATAGTCAGGTAGTGCCTGACTGCTTGACAAACCTCCTTTTTGATGCAGGCGATGAAGAAGCCGTTGTGAAGGTTGGAGGGAGCAAAATGAATGCATTGCGAGGGCGTGATGAGGTTAGGACCAGCCTCACCGGCGGCGATGGCCGCCTCAGCCTCTGCGAGCGCAGGAATACCCGGTGGCACGCGACACACGAAACCGGGCGTAGAGGTGGCAGGTCGAGAGGGTGTAGCGTTGGCTTCCATCTCGCGCTGTAGGGTGCGGTTAGCGTACTCCACACAGCGTTGTACCGCCGTCTCTGTCTCATCCACATCCACTGAGTGGCTCACAAATATCACCGTGCGCACTTGGTTGACTGAGTGATGAGTGTGAAACGGATCACAGTCAGATACCATTGTAGCACTCTTTGGGAGCGCAAACCACTTGGATTTTGATTTCAAGACGTTAAGCGTTTAAAAATGCCTACAGTATGAAGTCTCCTTTGATAATTCTCTGGGATTTAACCAATGTTTACCTTGATTACATGTTGCTCTTAAGGCCGGCCATTTTCCGCTACCCTTCAAAACTGCCGATTCTCAGGAGGTCAAAAAGTCAACATTTTTACGCATTCAACTAATTCAGTGTTCAGAAGTGCATCGAGTGTCATACAAGAGTAAACCATGTTCAGGACACTGTCTTGTTTTGCCTTCGAACAAATCCAAGGTGGTGTCTGTGTTTACCTCGTTTAACTCTATATGAGCACAACCAGAACGGAGAGGACGCTTCCTAAGGCAGTGCGTAAAATATACATTAATTTCACTTCATAGAACTACTATTTCTGTCCTATATGACACTTCCGGACAGATCAATGCCACCTTATGCGCAGGAGGCGTTAGCTGCTAACTAGGGGACCTTAATCCAAATTAACACTTATCTACAAAGTAATACAGACGTGGGTTTCTACAGTCTCAGGCTTTATCTGTCTCACTGCTGTTAAAAATGCTTGTACTTAGGGCCATGATAAAGCGTGGTATCTGTACATAGATTTAGTGGGAATAGGTGTTTTGAGTCCAGTAAGCACTGACTCACGGGCTGATTTTGCAAAATGACTTTATTAACATCAAGTAACTCTTTGTTTACAGACGCAGTGATTCATGCCTCAGACTGCACTCGTCATCCAAGCAGTGAAAGATCGCCAATTTATTCTGTTCCTCAAGTGGTAGATAGAACTGTCTGATGATGCGTTGGTGTAGAAAGAAGAATTTCCATTCAGCTGCGAAACCATCAATTTTTTACATGTTTCAAATAACACAGACAAGGGCGAACTGTACTGGCAATAATCTATCAAAAGGCGACGCTAGACGACGTAGCTTTCATTTTGGCTGTGTGATGCCAATTAATTTTGTGTTGCTTATCCGCTGTTTAAGGAAAATTGAGGTTTGTGGAAAAATCTTACAAACAGATGGTAAAAAACTGTGGTAAATTGAAAGACCAAATGAACTTGGAAATAGAGAATTTGTTTCGAGCAAAGTGGCGAATTTCTAAAGCAGGAAATTAAAAAAGAATATATGAAAAAGCTAGACATTAGTAGCAGTTTAAAATTCCTGGTTTCCCTCATAAAAGTCGCTGCACTGGGTTCATTATCTATCTTACTTGCATCGTTTCGCCCACTTCCACCCATGCCTCATTTTTCCCCTTAACAACCTCTTCCACTTCGCATTTGATCCCAACATTGCTCAAACATGTTGCCAAAAAGGGGCTACACTGGCCGTTTAAAATAATATAGCGAGGGTATGAGGGATGAGGAACAGCACAGTTTATTCCAGGTACTGGGCCATCGGACTACAGTAAGTAGTGCACTATACATTCAACAAATAAAAGATCTGAACAACCGTGTCACAATAAGATCCCTGAAATGCGGACAAAAAGGACGTACATTTCAAAGCGTGTCTCAGGTAGGCGGCATTTTTCGACAGCATTTCTGCCCGTTTTGCGATCTTCTGTGGGTTATCGTTAGGCGTCCACATATCCTTGAACATTGACAAATCTGAAACAGTCCACTTTCTTAAAGCATAGCAATACTCACTTGCATCATCAAGTGTTTAAGACAAAATTTCAATCATATTTGGCCACCGGAAACATCACTTTTGGTGGATTACGCACTGATGGGTTTACAGCATGAATGGGCAGAAATGCGCTGATTCATGCGATTTATTTTGCATTTTTAGTAAGTCGCTTCTTTGTATCAAGTGGCAACAAAAGGAATCGACATTTTCAATTGTTCTCTTGAGTAAATGGACAGGAGTCAAGCCTAGTCGCGATGCCTTAGTAATAAGCAGACTGCTGATGCGCACGCATGTAGACCAGTAGATCTTGCGGCTGCGCATAGGTGGCTTTGAACGATGCTAAAAGCAGCCAACCAATCCATTTGTGAATTCAAATCAGCGGTCAACCAATATCCGGTCGCGATTTCTGTGTATAGGCACTGATTCCCCGACTTGTTTTAGCCGTCAAATCGACTGTCGCCACTCCGCTTGCGACTTTGATGCGACGTCACAGCGGCATGAGTCACGCCCACGAGGGTCATGAGTCATGACGTCTGTGGTCGCCTTCTACCCTCTGCCTGGCCCGCATATACTTGCAACAGAGAGCATGCAGATAAGGGTAGCCTTCGTTTTAGAAGCCTTGCAAGGAACTTAACTTGACTTGGGATTTCATCGACGGTATATAGGTATCATCAACGTGTTAGGTAAGACGAACATGCAGTCTCGAATAAATGAGACTACATTACTGCAAATAAATGTACTAAAGAAATGAAATATGAATGGATTAAATGAAATCAAGAACAACTACATTGAGTATGAAATATTTGTTTTTGCTTTGGGAAGTCAATAAACGAAGTAATAGTGCAGGTGTGTGTGTATAGCAAACTAACCCTCATTCTCACAGTCGATGTAGTCGATGGGATTGACGACACCGGTTTTCATGTCCAAGGACTCCAACACGATGTGACGCAGGCCTCTGTAGGTCTCACCACCGGGATTTAAGGTTAAGAAGTCATCGGTGATCATTCTGGTTGCTAGAAGGTGGAGGAAAGTAAAATGTCCTCCACTATAGTGTGTTGTATGCCTCATGTATGAGATAATTTTAACAGCATTTTACTTGCCCTTAAGATTCCTATAATGCGTTTAGGAATCAATTCGCCTTGAGTTTACCTAGCATGCATCTTGTTAAGATTAAACTAATTTAAAGGCACCATGAAAATGTAAATGATGATTTGAGACACATGCTTGACGGATCCTTCCTGCATTCATTGTCAGCCTGGCAAAACGGAATAGACAGTTGTTCACCACTCGTCCTCAATGCTCGAGTGCTAACTACTAGACAATGTCAACTGAGACGAATTGTGACAAGTGTCGTTGTTGCGCTTTGCGATTACATTCAAATTCAACATAAATGATTAAACACGACGAACATGGTAAGTAGGGATGAACGTACTAGGGCGGACCGTAATGTTTGGTAAAGGGGGTTTGAGATGTCCAAAACAATAATTTATTCAAAGTTGTGCAAGGTGAACATGAATTTAGACGAATTATGCTACTTAGCGCTGCCAGCAAAAGCCAAAACCAATCGAAATCGAATCACATTCTTTCGTCCCATATAAAGTTTATAAGGTATGTGTAGATAAACTTGAACTAAAAGGAAAAGCATCGAGAACTGTGGAGCACATGAAGCGAGTAGGAAGCTGGTGGCATTCGCAACTGTCCATGTTCCCATTTGGGAAGTCATTCGTTTGTCAAGATGCCGATGTGTGCAAACTGGAGTTTGTTTGTTTTCTTTCTACCTAACAGCAATTCAAGTTGGACGCTGTTCAGTGAAGTGTTTAAATGACTTACAGGTGGAAGATGGAACCCACTTAGAACATTGTGCTCAAGGAGTCTGTGGAGGAGACGCCTTTTCCCAATACCTGAACCTGGCCTTTCTTATGCTTCCTTAATTAGTGTGAACCTCTGAAAATGCCTACTAAACCCAAATCAGGAAGTCTTTTCTTATTTTCCAAACCGAGACAAGCGGTCACCAGAACTTTTGGTAATTTACATTAGAAAATAGTATTCTGATTTGGATGCTATTTTTTAACTCACCAGTGGGTGAACCTACAACTTTGAGACAATTACCTGTTTGACGTAATATTTGTGAGGAAGTCATTGGGGAATTGTTGACTCCTTAAATTTTATGAATGTTTTCAAAGAGAATGATTTGGCAGAGCAATTTGGTGAATGGTTGTAACATTCTCAAGATGTTTGATAGAAAATATAAATAGTCGAAGTAGTTGTTCAGGAGATTAAAAAAGTTATAAATATTCTTTCGAAGTTGATGGTGCACCAATCAAAACAATGAGCGGTATCGTCTCTTTGAAGAGGAGGAGACACAAGCATTTGACACAACAACTACAAAGGTTTCACGACAAAATGTTACTTCTCCGACGACATAAAACCTTCTGAAATTAAATAGACTGTTTATGCACGAACCAGATGCCCATATTACGATGGTGCAAGTACTCAAATAATCTCATTTAAGGGTTATTTAAGCAATCAGTAAAGCGATTTGCCTCTCGAGGTACTTAGACCATTATCCTCTCCTGAATGAGACTTACTTCTGCAACCGCATTTAGGAATCAGCCTGGGATCCTCATTTTCTTTGGGCTGTCGTACAACACGAATGGTAGGGACGGGAGTAACGGTGGGAAACTTGTTCATCAGCAGACCCTCGAGGTGGATGCCATTGAGGCTGTTGGGGTGATTGACCAGCATTACCTCCTCTCCCGGTCCGATGAAGGCCAAGAGACAGTGAAGTGCAAAGAGATTGCTCTTGTCCTGCAAAATGCCATCTCAACAACATCGCATCCGAATTGGCATCGTGAAGGCGCATCTTCATAAAGCAAGGGCGAAGAGCAGTATGGTTCACTCAGAAGAAGAGGCAACGTCGCAAAAGGTTTATTTTCCTTAATACATTAAGTATACTCTGTTCTGTACTTCTCTTTCAAAGGAATATTATAGTACACCATTGAAAGTTGTAAATTTTAGTCATTGATCGCCATGGTTTAATCAAAATGCATTGCGTGTGGGTGTGTACTTGTGGGCACGTGCAATGGAGACTATCAGGAGATGAGATTGCATCTTTCACAGCAAAATAAGGCCTATTCATTCTACAACAGACTAATATTTTTTTAATGGTAAAATGTAGGCCTTTCGGTCTTTGTGAATTTGAGCTTACATGCATTATCGCTTCGGCATTCTTTGGAAACAATGGTAAACTATACGCAGGCTCATACGCTATGGTAGAACAGCGAGAGTGGCTCGAGTTGTGCAAATCAGCATCGCACTGGAAGGGTATCTTTCTAAACAAGTGTCGAACCAATCCCGCTTCATAAGGAAAGTGGCACAGTTTTACAACTTACGATTCGCATTCGAGGTTCGTTGAACGCATTGACGATAGACGATCACTGCAACCGGCTTTACAACGAATTTGGTTAATGGAAAGCTAGCCATTTTGGAGATAAAATCCTGATATACAACGACTGCTGTTTATTTGGCCCAGAACTTTCTCATTTTTACCATTAGCCCTTTTCAGCTACCATATTACGCTCCATCCTAAGTAAATGGACATTTCTGCAGTTCACGTTATTTAATTTAAAGTCGTCATGGGGTTGGTACGCTTGGAAATAGCGAGAAGAAACTAAATTTCTTCACAAGGCGTTAGGTTTGGAATTCTCATGAATTTAACGTAGCACTTTTATATTTCATCAAGCTGCCCGATCCCAAGATCCTTCCAGTGACTCCTTAGCTCCTCTCCATGTCAGTAATGCCTAGTTCACCCAAGCATCGAGTGCTGTGTTAAATACAGTCAAGAGTGAGTCCCCTCCCAAACGCCGACCACTTTGACCCTCATAAA